GAGTGCCGGGCGCTGGTCGCCCCCCCCCTGCGCCGCCCGCCCCCACACCCGCCCCCCCCACCCACCCCCACCCCCACACCCACGCCCACACCCACACCCACACCCACACCCGAAGCTGATACCCATACCCATACCTACACCCACACCCTACATGCACCCACACCCACACCCCACACCTACACCCACCCTCACACCTACACCCACCCTCACACCCACACCCACACCCTTACATAGTAAATATGCGATAGGAAGATGGAGAATGGCGCACTTTGTTGGTTGTCATCAGTGGGTTTTTTCCAACTTACAAAAAAAACAACACAAAGTCAATACACAGGTGAATTAACGCTGAATCGGCAAGTATTACGCCCATGTGATGACGTTTGGGACACTTTGATGTAAGCAAATTTTTGAGCCATTTCTGTGTAGCGTAACCAGCAACAGTATGATTATTTACTCTGAAACATTTTTCACATTAAAAAATATCGGCCTCGTATGAAACCTCCACAGCTTTGTACGAGATCTCGAAATGAGGGCAAGCAGAATTCTCACAAGTAGAACTTAAGAGAGAGTCCATGAGAGGATCGAGAAACCGAGGCACTAGACACATTTTTAAATTTTGATTTCATGTCTTCATCTTAATCAACATCATCGAAAATCCCTAAACCTTAGTTTTTAGTGCATTCGAATGAGCTGATGAAAAGTTAGCTCAATACGACTTTGGGGACCCTCAAGTAGTTACATGAGAAATTTCATCAAAAATTATCTGTTTAAAGTTGAGTGTTTTAATATAATAAAAAGTTAACAAAATGTTTGCTGCATTGTACTACAAGATAGAGCTTTAAACGCTGCACAAAATGAGCTATTTAGATATAATGTTTTAGTAGACTGATCAAAACTTATACGTCAAAAACTTTTCTTAAGTACGCATTTTTTTGAGTCAAAATATGCCAATTTCTTTTCGGTATATCAGCTGCTATTCAGCTATTTCAAGTTAGTCGAAGATGAGGTTTTTATATGTTATGCAGCTTTTAATTCTCTACAAAATGATTAAAAATATATTTCAAAAAAAAAGTTGGCCTTCGAGGCGAAGTGACGCTCTCATTTCTCTCGTAAGGGGTGTATTCTGATCATTTTCCAATAGAAAACGAATATTTTGAGAGCTTTCCATGATCGTAACACGATTTTACAGCAAAATAAACGTGATTTTCGAAACCTGCGTCAAAAGTTAGACCGAATCACCTAGGGTGGGTGATATGTGGGTGTGGGTGAAGAGAAGATCGGCATCGTCACCCACCCACCCACACTCACACCCACACCCTCAATTTCGAGAATATGATATCCTACTTTCATCTTTCTATCAACTAAGTTTTATTATGTTTCACTCACAATATGACAATACAGATAAAGAACTACGCCATGTAAGATTTATTACTTACTCTTTTCTTCTACACGAGCCTTTCTCCAACATACAGTCAAATAATAAATACAAACTACTATTCAGATTTTATATCACATAGAAAGCTATCAAAGGACATGATGACAACAGATACTAGCGGATGTCTCTCATTTGTATCGGGAAGTACGGCCGAAGGTCAAACTTATGCACGTCATTTAGCCGATCAGAATATTCAAGATATTGACATTCTCATTCATTGTGGTATTGTCCAATATGAACGAAATCTCATTCAAACAGGTGTTCCTGGGTTTGTTCGAGTCAAATTCGATGATGGAATCAAATCTACAGGAAGTATTGAATTTAAACGTCGAGAAGATGCGAATGGTATTCTGTGTATCAATGGTTTTCAATTAAAAAGCGAACATTGTACAAGCGAAAGCCAATTTGGTGCTCCTCTATCCAATGTGAAGCGAACAGGTAGAACATCGCCTGATGCATCGTCTGCGGCTGCCCAACAAACTCTTACATATGAAGAGATTGACATCAGCAAACAATTCTACAATGCACTCGTCAACGTTGAGCAACAACTTAACCAATTGAATTTCGCTAAAATTCGAACGAATTATAGACTTTTTAGTCGAGGTGTATGTGAAGCAATATCTCAATATGCTTTACCGTTATATCAAACCCCATACAATAAATCGATGTTTGAAGAAAAACATATCAATGAGCAAACATTTCGTGATCTTTTCACTTTAGTAGGTCCTGCCTATGGATATGCTTTGCCACAGGTAACTTTAGCTCGTATTCAAGCTGTTCTCGATTTTTATGATAGATATGCGCATATTGGTAACCCGAATAATATCAAAGATGTGGCTAATTATTTTAAATCGTGTGCACCAACCGATGCTGATTTTGTTCCATCCCTTCAATTGAAATTTTGGCCGACTGATATTCAACCATTTTTCGAACGAATAAAACGAAATCGTCCGAATATTTATGATTTAATTATGAATAAAGCATCGATGCATGTCATATCGAAATGGTCAACAAAAACACCGACATGTGACAGAGAACTAGAATTTCGTTATTCATTTTCTGCTATTGAATTAATACTAGGTCAACAGCGCTCGTTAAAAGAACGAACACTAAATGGCATTGCGCGAAGTATCTATTTCAAATTTTTAAAAGGACAAAAGGTTCTGCCGTCATATTTTATCAAAACAACAGTGCTATGGATGTCCGAAACAATGGATCTTTCTTCGGATACTGATGAAATATTAGCTCAAAAATGGCTTCAATATGCTACGGATCTGTTAGAAAAACATGATTGTCCACACTATATTATTCCCAATGTTAATATACTTGGACCGTATTCTGCTGATTCAATACAAGCTGCTCGTGAAATTTTATTAAAAGTAAATATAAACGAAACCTACGAAATACAAATGTATTCTGCTACGCATCAAAAACTCTATCGAGATATATATCATGACAATATTGCCAAGTTTCTGATCCAATTGAAATCGAACGATATTATTTGTGCTCTGCGTGATTATCAACAACTCAAACGACAATGGATTAGTTTAGAATCATCAGCAATAATTATTGACGATGATGAAACTGATTTGAGTGAAACATTAACTATTCTCAATATATTACGTGGATTAGATGGAAATTATGAAAATTGGAAAAAATTTCGGAAAATATTTTTAACAGATATACCATCTGAAGAACCAATTTGGGGTGAAACGATAAATGTAGAAAGTTCTGTTGATTTCGTAGAAGGCTTATGCAGTATTGGTGTTATTCTCACACTTATGAATGAAAATATTACATCTGACACTTTACTATCCGAACACGGAGTACAGTGTAATATGGCAGATTTTCAAAATTATCAAAATGTTATTCATCAATATTTAAACCCGGCGACATTATACAGTAGTATGCAGTCGACATATGCATACTGGTATAATGATTCTGTTGCGGCCTTTGAACGACGACGAGTGACCGATTATCATCCGGATGGGCCCAAAATGCAACAATATGAGGATAGAAAATAAAATAATTTTTCAAAATTTCTTATTGATATTTGTCGAAATAATCCTGATCAAAACTTAACTTTGAGAGAACTCTTACAACAGCCAAATGTGATAAATATGCTGGATGATCAGTTACTGGCCATGGCTATTCAAAGATCCTTGGAGGATCAACACAACTCCGAAACAAACTGATTCTAATAAGATCAACTTTTCTCTGTGCGCTTTATTGTTTGATAAAATTTCCTTTGACAATTAAAGAAGGGAAGGTAACGATTCGTAACAATGTAAAATGCATAAATCATAAAAAGCAGGGCTTTCGTATCGATTTTTGACAGGGCTTTCGTATCGTTTTAGACAGGGCTTTCGTATCATTTTTAAAGAGCTTTCCTATCAAGTTTACAGGGCCTTCGTAACAATTTTGACAGGGCCTTCGTATCGGTCTTACAGGGTCTTCGTACCGTTCTTACAGGGCTATCGTAACGTAAAAGGATTTAGTATGATCTTTAGTCAGATGTTGCTGACAGGATTTCATATTGAAATTAGTGATCTACCAAAATTATAACATAAATAGTTCAAAAGTAGAAAGTGAGAACCAGAATATAAGTATAGACAAATTTTTATCTTCTTTTAAATCTCTTTCTTAGTAACAACAAAAAGTAACAAAAACCAGGCAATATATAAAGAGAGAAGAGTGAACGAGAACAATATCCAGATAATAGAATTAAGAATACACATAATTGATTTCCTCGATTTTAAGTCAACAACTTTAACAAAAAAAAGGCGTACACAAATCTGGAAAAACATAGAGAACTAGATGTAGAGAACAAAAAAGATACCAAAAGAAAAAGACTTTTCATTCTACTTATATACTCTAAAATAATGGAGTCTATTTAGTTATTGACGTCGACGATTTTTTGACGTGATTGACGAGGCAGGACCTCCGCAGCTATTAGCTTTAGCAGTTTTTCGATTATTTTTCACATCCGTAACTGGCGATGATGATATTTTACGTTTACGTAATCAATTTACCAATGGTGTTCCACACCTAATTAACATAATTAAGAAGAACATAAGTCCGAGAATTTTTCTATACGATCTTCATAATAACAAATCTTACTTCGTTGTGTTGCACTCCTGTTGTGGTTCATTAGCAACTAATGTGAGCACTGGTTGTGGTGATATAGTATTGCTAATAACTGGTTTAGCTAATCGTTTTGATGATTTCATTTCACTCATATCACTAAAATTAAGAAGAAGAAACAGAAAGTTGATATACCTAATGTGAAGTACTAAGAAATAAACAAAGAATAGACAACGATCTTTACTCTAATAAGACAGCAGCAGATAATGATTGACTTTGTTTTGGTGGTTGTATTGCGTTAGTACTAGTTGTTTTATTCAGAGAATGGTTTTCCTTTTCTTGCTGTATGGTTGTTGATGATAAAATTGTAACATCATAATCAATATTAGTTTTTTTATTGATAATGTTAACTGCATCGTGACAATGATTTAAAATAATTTGGATGCAATCACGACAGACAAGAATCTTTTCATGGGAAAAATGATCTTCTACATCTCGAATTCTCGGCATATCACCCATTGTTTTGGCATATTCTAATATAAATTTTGTCGTACGATAAGATTCATCTTGTACTCGTAAAATTAACCAACGTTTGACCTATGAAATACAAAGAGAAATAAAGAGAGTAAGAAACAAATGAACGAAGGAAAAAAAGAAAAAATTCTTACCGTCTAGTGGACCACCTTTAAATTTTTTATAAATATTATATGTTCCATCTGCTTCTAAAACTCCTAAATAACGATGACTTCCACTGATTTGTCGACCATTTTCTTTTTTAAATATTTCTCCGTTGGCAATGCCAATACCTTTAATCTTCTTAGGTGGTTACTCAATGAATCGTATTAACTCTTCTAATAAATTTTGATTTGTAATAATGGGATATATTTTAGCAAATTTTGGATCATCCATTGCGCTTTCAATAATGTTATCTAAACATAAAAAGAAAAATAATGTGTCAGTCTTAAACTGTAGTAGTTCTATTGGCCAGACAATTTTTGAAGCACTTACCAAAGCTGGTATAACCACTGTCTGGAACTATCGACAAAGAATAAAATTTCTTCGTGGCAGTCATTTTCGATATAAAATTCGATATTCAATTTTTAATAATTCAAATTAACAATGTAGACAATTTTTGGTTAGATGATAAGCAGACTAGTCTGAAAAGAAAGTATGAATGTATACATGGACGAACATTATTCAAATAAGTTAAGATATAGACCGCGAACGATCCATTTTATTATCACAAAGAAACAAACAAACAAAGAAAAGGACGATTCATTTATTCTTTAACATTCACTCTCTCCGTCCTTATCCGTCTTTATAAAACGTGTTATTTTCGATCGATTGGCTTGTAACAACTTATGTTTTTTTTCTTTTCGTCCTTCTCTATATTTACCATATTTCGTTCCAACGCATTCACGTAATTTATTCAATGCACTTGAAAGATCTATTTTTTTCTTTATTAATTGATGATTAATTTCGTTTATTTGTTCTGTGATTTGTTCACTAGCAATAACATTCGATCCTTTTATCAATTTGACAGATGAATTTCCGGTCCCACCTTGAGCCATTTTAATACGAAAACCGGTTTCTTCCATTTTAAGTACACGAGAAAATTGCCAAATTGATGGTTTTCGTCGAGGCATTATCGATTTGAGGGTTTTGTTATAAGCTATAACGAGAAGAGTATATTAAACTAGACGAAACTACGACACTTACATTCACTATAATTATTTGTTCTTTTGGATTTATTATAAACACAAACCATTTCGATCATACCAGGTGCTAGCCATTGTTTCTTATAGTAAAATAACATTTTATTTAATTGTGGTATGAATTGTTTTAATTTACGATCGGTTTTCTTTTCTTTTTCAATTAATTGAAATGCTTCTTCCATTTTTGTTACTGGTAACATTGGAATAGCCATCATTCTTTTAATCCATTCGTATAAATTACTATCATTTAAATAGTGCATCCAAAGACCATACTTTTTCATTCGTTTAACAATCTTTTGAAGATAATGGAAAAAACATCCATCATGTTTAATTTGAGGAAACTAAAGAAACGAAAAATACATATTTTTTGTATAGAAAAGAATCACTTTCTATCAAGACTTACCAACTCTTTCAAAGTTGATATAATTCCTGACTCATAGTCAGACATAATATTTGATGTGGAAAATTCATATCCACGTGTTTTAGCTAAAGAAATAATTTGTTTGAATAAAATTCTATATGTTGCACCTTTTTTATCATTTAAAAGAATCCAAGCCACTGGTAGAACTAGAAAGCAAAAAAAAAAAATAGAAGAAATTCCAGAAAAAAATTAAGTTTTATTTTTTTAACAAGAATTTACCCTTTTTTGATTCGATATCATGAGCTTGTATTATGTAGGTTTGTTTAAATAATCGAGGTGTTATGGCAAATGTTCCATCCATATATAGTGATGAACTTTCACACATTACTTTGAACTGTTTTTCGGATGAAAACATCAATATTCGTTTTTTCTGTTTGGCATATGAATGATCCAATAATATAAATGGTTCATCATCTGTTGTGGTAGAAAATTCAATCGGGATAGGAAAATTGATGTCATTTGGTAGTTGAGGCATATTCCGATTGTGAGCTCTCCAAAGCGACATACCTAAAATGAATATTTTTTACGAGTAATTTATTAATTTTTTCATTTATTTATACTTACGAATACTATTGAATGATGGTAACTGTGCCATTTCACTTTTTCCTAATTTCATAGTTGCAGCAAGTTCATTGTAAGTGGCAATTGATGGTGGGACTGTTGGTGATTGTGTCATTTGTTTTAAATCTGATTTGAATTTTTGAATTATAAGTTTGTCTTTATCTGGTTGGCGATTATGATCTCCAATTACTTTTTTAAAATCATATTGTGGATGGTGATCATCTCCTTGATTACAACTTGTGTACAAAAAAATTCGACATTTCACCGATTTATTACGACTTTCACAACACCACCATTTAATTCCACTTTTCATTTCTTTGAACTTTTGATAGCTAAATCCATTCATACACAAATTTATTCCACCACGTTTCGTTTTAAAATATGACACAGGACCCATAATTGGACGCATTGTTGTTGATAGTTCAGATGATTTTGAGGAGATTATGATTTCTGGATTAATAGTTGTAGCTGCAATAGACTTCGATTCTGCTGTGGTTGTGTTTAAATTGTTTGATGAAAGAGACATTTTTTTAAACGACACATTCAATGTGTTATCACTCTCTTCTGATGTTGAACGAGAGGAAGTGTACGATGAGTCTGAAGAAGAAGTGGACGACAGTGAATCGTCAGATGACGACGATGATGAACGACTGAAAAGAACGAAAATGATATCAATTTGCATAAACGAACATAAAGTAAAATGACATTCGTCAACACTCACTTAGAATTTAATTGAGAAGTTTTCGATTTTCTTTCTTTTGTACAAACTGTAGCTGAACGTCTAAATATTGAAGAAAAATGTTGATGACGATAATATTCTTTAAAATTAAAAATTAACGAGCTATTAAGACAAATTGACTTACGTTTGAATATTCTTCACAACAGGTTTCGATGCTTGAGTAACCTGATTATTGGAGACTTTTTTCATTGACTTCAGCATTGATGCTGCCAGTGGTGATGACTTGTTAAGACTATACTTTGTTTGAACAGAGAACAGTAAAAACATATATTGGTTTACTAACGGTTAACCTATTGGTTCATTGGTTTTAATGATGTCATCCTCTATTCAACCATAGAAATAACAATGACATCTATGAATGTATACAAATAATTCATTCACAGTATAGTACCATGTATTTGGACCATTTAAGTATATAAAACTTGTTACGAATGGATCCCATTTAATGACTTAAGCGATATTTGTAAGCATGGGTATTCGTAACGAACGCCCTGTTCTTTTTAGTACCAGTCTTTCATTTTAGTTATGAATGCAATAAGAACTTGATTACGAAAGCCCTGTCAAAAACGATACGAAGCCCTGTATAAGTTTGATACGAAAGCCCTGTCAAAATTTGATACGAAAGCCCTGTCAGAATTTCTTACGAAAGCCCTGTCAAAATTCGTTACGAAAGCCCTGTAGTAAAAACGATGGCAGGGCTTTCGTATTACGAAAGCCCTGTAAATTTCTCGTTACGAATCGTTATACCCCCTTAAAGAACACAAAGTAACGAATGAAATACCATGTTCATGATCTTAATAGAAACTTAAAGTTACATAAGCGCTAGGATCCAATATACATTCCAAATTTGAATTGATTGAAAATCTTCTGTTCTTATTGGGTTCTCATGAATCAATTAAAAAGATCAAAACAAATCAAGTTCAATTCGAGTTCAAGTAGGAAAATGAAAGTATGGGTGTGGGTGTCGATGCAGATGTCGTTTTCTTCTAAAATCATACTCACTCAAAGGATGTGGGTATGGGTGTGGGTGGCCGTGGGCATCGGAGTACACTCTTTCTCTTCAGTCACACCCACTCCCACACCCACACCCCACACGCATACGCACACGCACACGCACACCCACATCCACACTCTACCCTGAAGATCTTGAGTATACATGAAAATGGTTAAAAAAACTATCATTGTTTACGTTTCTATGAGCATTTGAACATCTTACTAGTACTTTAACCCTACTAATATTTATATAAAAAAGTGCGCCTTTCAATGGGTTACAATATAGCCAAAGTTCAGTCTGGGACCCTGAAACATGAGGCGTCAGCAGCGTTACCGACGAGGGAGAAACAGCACAGACTTCAGCCGTGAAGTTTCATCAAGTCTTGAAAGTCCTTCGGAAGTCTTTTGAAGTTGCTTGAAGTATAATGAAGTCTCATGAATTATTCTGGAAGTTTTGAAATACACTTAGTGCATGAAAATTCATAAGAAACCAATGAAATTGTCTTGTTTTGGATGGTTTTATTTTAGCAGAAAGGTGAACCTTTTATTGTTTTTTTCTCAATGTGCTAGAAAAAAATTCAAGTTTCTTGGATCTTAGAAAACATTATAGTTAATAACTGAATGTTTTTTGAATGAATTGATTAATTTCTATAAGAAAGGTTTCATCCATTCAATGTCAATCTTATGAAGAATTTTATTCCTTTTTGTTTGTTTCTGTCACCCATGAAATCTATCAGACGATAAATGGGTAGCTTTGTCAGTCAATAACCAACAAGCCGTTCGCTTGTGTATAAATTCAGTCTTGTTATTTATTTGCATCCGAAAATAGGAGTTTTTTAATGCTTGATTAATCGAATCCAATATAAACATCCCAGTAAAGCTTATTTTCTCAGTTTTAATTTCATCAACGCTTTGTGTCATTGTCACTTCTTTATCCTAGATATAGATATACTGCGAGAAACAATTCTCAGAAACAAGAAATACTTTTCTAATCAACATATGATAAGTTTTGTTTTTTGCATGTTATAGAAGTTTCATGCAATTACTGTAAGGTTTTTCATACGCATGGAATCTGCCTCTTGAAGCCTTGTAAAATCTTGTGGAGTTTTGTGACGTCTTGTGAAATCTGATGAAGTCTTATAAACTCTCAAGAAGTCCTACAAAGTCTGTGAAGTTTCACAAAATCTATGAAGTGTCATGAAGTCCGTGAAGTCTCACGATGTCTGCGAAGTTTTATGAAATCTTTGGAAGTCTTTTGAAGTTCTCTTAAGTCCCATGAAATCCTATGCAGTCTTGTGGGGTCATTTGAAGTCCTATGAAGTCTCGAGAAGTCTTTTGAAGTCTTGTGAAAATATGAAGTCACTATGGTTTAAGTCCGCTGTTTTCCCCTTGATTACCGAGCATGTAAAAGCATATGAGAAAAGCATGAAAAAATAATGGTATTTTGTCTATTTTAATGATTGTTGAACAGGCAACTCTTTGCTAATAGACATACCTTCTATAGGACTTTGTAGAGCGAAATGCACTCTATATTCTCGTATAAGATAATAATTGCTTCGACCAAGTTTTTGTGTTGAAATGTTTGACTAAAGAAAAGCAATTTTTCTTGCAAAAAAATCATTTCTTTCAAACATTGATTATTACCGAAGAAAAGTCGAGATAGCAAATGTTCTCAAGACTTCATCCCAAAGATTCGAAAATTTTCCTCTAGGCCTAACTTTTTACGCTCTTTCAGACTGGCTAATCAGTTTCAAGATGTAAAATTTTTCGGCACCCTACCATATCTTTTTTGGGTCGTGGTTTCGTGGATTCTCTGTTAACAGACTGAAAACTAATGATTGATTATTTTCGAAAGAAAAAAATCCTTAAATCAGTATTAATACAAGAAATAATTTTACTTTTGGTCATTATCTGTCGTAGTAACAGGACCAGGAGCATGTGAATGTAGTTAAAGAGTAAAATTACAAACACTTTTCTAAAATTTACCTCTGACAAATCTGCATCGTATTCAATAAACAATAAAATGACATACAAAAACGACTTTTTTTTACATGTATGAAATATCACAAGTCTGATTATAATGCAAGGATTCTGTGAACAATTATTGTATTTATTTTATAAATTTTTTAATAGTTTGAAAAAACTCGTTCATCTTGATTCAAAAGAATACAGAACATGTTGCTTTACACATGATTTGTATATTTTCAAATATTCTGTCGTTAATTGTCGAAGCAAAGTAAAGCAAAAGGAAGAATACTTAACATTCAGATCAAAATTCATCATGAAAATATTTGTCTTTTCACTTCGTCAAACTCTTTCGTTGAATAAAATGACTATACTTAAAAAAGCTTTGGAAATACTTTCAATCTTTGTCGTAATATTATCAAGACTAGACGGATTATTTTCATCGATGCTTGAGTTACTTAGATTTTGAATTTGCAAATCGATACTTTAACCCTTGCCCCTCTCAAAATGGTTCCGGAAGAGCCACTGATAAAATAACTACAATAATTGAGTACTGGTTTCCTCAATATACCAATCGTATAAGCAAGTCAACTAGGTGCACTCCCCTTGGTACTTGGGAGCTTGGTCACCTCAATAACCATGGGAGAAGGAAACAACATGAAAAGTGATTTTTTTAATACTTTGTCGTTTATATTTCCTATTCTGTTTTGATAGCTATGCACGATTACTTCAACAATTAACATTATTCATAGATACGAACATTATTTAGCATTATTAGACATGGGAAGTTCGACTCTGACACCAGTCTTAGGGCTATTTGGTCAGAAACACAGATGGGATTGAACCTGGGATCGCTCTGTCCATGTCCAGGTGAGATTGCAGTATCGATAAGAGACCAAATCATTCGCTTTTGGTCTTGAGCTGAATCCTGTCCCGATCAGAAAAACGCTTTCACCTCGATTCTGGGTCTCATCTCAATGGAAATAGAGATTAGAACCTTGTCACCCTTACCTAATAGGAAGAAAAGGGCTTCTATCTATCAATAGCGTTAATGATTGGCTTGAGCATGCATAGTTGCCAAGAAAATATTATAACTAGTTTGGGAAATAACATATACAAAAATGATGCCTTTCATATCTCTGCCCCTTCCCCTCTCCATCCCAATGATTACTGGAGTAGTCCAAGAGTTACAACTTTCAAAGGCAACATTATGTTAAATTTTTTTACTGGACGTACCAATTCTTGGATTATTGTTACTTTGGATGGGTGTGGGAGTGAGTCTTTCTTGAATCTACACTCATACTGAGCACCACACCCATATCCGCAACCTTATTTATTTGTGCTTCCCTTTCCAAAAAAATTGATTCTCTTTTCTTTTATAAACATAAGGATTGTTTTTATAGTTAATTCATAAAAGATAAAGTCAAACATCCGGTTTGAGCGGATGTGGATGTAGGAAACGATGAATCTCAACATAGACCCATACCCACACACGGACGCTTATCTGTAATATATGAGATTTCTCGTGTAGGGTTCTAAAGTTTGTCTAGAAATTATCTCAGCGTTCGCAGCACATGAGCCGGCTTTCATTAAACTCATTGATAGATGAAAATGCGAATCATTTCAAACTTTTCCTTGCGTCTATAACGTTAGATACAAGCTATGAATTTATCAGAATATTTTCAGGTCTCGCATGTCCGTGACCCTATTTTATTCGTTAACCCTCAATCATACGCAACAGTTTGTTGGAGTGAAAGAACAAAAACCGCTTAAATTAATCAATGCTTTGAATCCATTTCGATAGAAAAACGTTGGATGCGATGATTGCCTAAATCTACAACATAAAGATTACCATGCTGATCGAAAGCCAAGTCTCTTGGGACATTGAATTGATTTGTTCCCATTCCTTTGCCATTACCACCTGCAATGACAGTGCCTTGAGTAGCTCATTGAGGCCAACGCGTCACTCTATCATTCCCAACCTCTGCAACATAGAGAGTGCCCAAACTATCGACAAACAATCCATTAGGATACGACAACTGTGTCAAAGCATTTCCATGTCCATGACCACCGGCGACGACAATTTCTTCATGTGCATTTTTATCCCATTTCATCACACGATGATCGCCATCGTCTCCCACGTAGACTGTCTGTTCTTCTTCGACAAAGATATAGCTCGGTTTGTTAAGTTGATTGAGACCAATACCATACCCATTACCACCAGCAACAATAGTTCCATTCTTATCTCCCATTCAATATCTTCTTACTTCATGTTTCACATGATCAGGAACGTAAAGGTATCTCTGATTATCCATAGCCAGTCCGACACAGGTGACGCCATCGACAAGAATTTCTCCTTCAGTTGTGCCATTAAGGCGAGACCATCGTACAACTCGTCGGTTTCCCCAATCACAGATAATCAGACTATTAGTCTCTTTGTCAATTAGCACATCCATTGGCAAGTTCAATTGATCTAACCGGTTTCCTCTTCCATTACCACCAGCTATTACTTTTCCACTAGTATCATCAATCTTCCATTGAATGATACGATTATTTACATGATCAGCAACGATCACGGTTTGATCATCATCAACAAAAAGACCCCAAGGCTCGTTGAGCTGACTGTTTGCATCACCTCTTCCATGACCTCCGGCAACGGCTACTGCATTTTGCGCCCATCTAGCATCAGCTCGAATTGGGGGAGGCACTACAATGAACGAAAAATCGATGGGAATGATTGTTGTCGTTGTTGAAAAAATCTGCCGGTCTCTTTCTACGGAGAATTCAATACATGAGTGATTCTTTTCAAAAGTATATGATTAAATTTTCTCGGATAATTATTTCTCTAATATACATAGAACATTAAAAAGATTTCCCCCAAGTTATAAAGTCATATCGATGAATAAAAAAGAGTAGTGTAAGTGATATACTCATGAAATATCTCTAAAGGATGTTCATTTTATCTGCATAAAGTTGAAGATTCATGTTCGCAAGGATTTGTTCAAGTTCTTGCGGTGATCTTGTCTTAGGGTAGAGGACAAAATTTTATCACTACTCTGACGTCTCTCGCGAAATCTGTATTAGCTCTTAATAACCGGCATGGTGCGCGAAGTAGTCAATGCAATTGCTATTTGACACTTTATTTCCTGACAGTAAAAGGAGGATGCTACCCGATAGGAGATATAAACACTTCTAGAAGAAAAGATGCTCAGGTCAAACGAATACATAGTAAGATCTTGTATAATCGTTCCTCTGATCTTGTATGATCTTGCAAGATCATACGCAAGTTATGCAAAAAATCGTGTTCTCAGAAGTCGTACATCTGTTCGTTCTGTAAGATTTTTGCAAGATCTTATTATCCTGTCAGATCTAACTCGAATATTATAGAAAACCTTATGGGACGGCAAGATCTTACAAGAACATTGCAGTAAGAGTTGATGTGAGACTTCTGAGACCATGATTTTTTTGTACAATTTCGTCTGATCGTACAAGACTTGATGTCTAATTTTTTGATCTGGATGGTACTCAAAAACAGAACTTACATTGTAGTTATAGTTGTAATTGAAATATTCGTCGTTATTAATTATCATCAAAAATTCATGCAAACAAATCAGGTAGTTTCACGTCTAACATAAAATGTGATTTAGAACAACGTACAGTTAAGTTTGAGACGAAGCTTCTATACAGTTCGAAATTAGCGAAGCAACATGATATGACATTATTAGTGACCCTTTTCTTTTAAACTTTCTTTTTTCGAAGCAAAAACTCTGTATTGATCAGCAACGGAAACCAAATCAGGTTTTGGATAATTTGTATTAAAGTAATTCGGGTGAATCGCATTTAATCGAACGGAACTCATTGAACTCATCGCGTTTGCTACTTTGATTCTGAGAAATCTCTGGAATAGACCAGAAATTTGCGTGGCGATGAAAAAAATGATCTCATATGCAACGATCTGAGTTAGTGGAACAATATGGTTTTTCGATGTATGAAAGTGGTGATTTCACTCTGTAACAGGAATAATCCTTCTTTTTCTCTTTTCATCTCCGGTAATTAAAATATTCTATTGCCTAATTAACAGTATGAATAAAATGAATTTAATATGATGCTCGAGAACACACAACAAAGTTGTATAAAAAGAGAAAGCTCGTTAGTGTAGTTTCCTTAAAGCTTAAATGTGAAACTCACATAAATTCTATAAACTAATATATATGACAAAATTTCAAAGTAGTTGCTAAATGTTCGTGATGAGAAGAAGAAGGGAAAAGGAAGAACTGCGAAAATTTGACCTTAAAGTTTGCAATCATTATTTTCGTCGAAAATATGTGAGTTTTACAAAACTAGTAGGAACTACCTCGGTCCTTTGGTCATCAAATGGTTCGCATTTTTGCAGTCCTCTTTTGTGAAATAAAGCGAATAAAAGCTCTCATATTCAATTATTTTCTCTAAAAGAAATAGATGTGCTTTGGGTGTCTAGTCAATATGTATTCTCTGCTTAATAATATCAATATGCAACATATGAATCAGTGGCTCTAATAACTAAACTAGAATAGCCTACATGTATAGTTCCATTACTGATTATTAGTAACCTATTTATTCGATTCCTTATTGAAACATATCTTGAGTTCCAACAGCCACTGTGCCATAGGTAAATCCCAACTGTTCGTCGTTACGTATCTACTTGTTAGCAATAGAAGCGAAAGAATAAAAAAACACGCTTATTTTTCGCGCTAATTCCTGAATCATAGGTGTTTTGAGATAAAGACAACTGACAACAATCAATATTCGCAAGAATCAATCCACTATGAAATAAAAATTTTCGATAAAGAGAAGCATATCAAACTCATATGGTATTCGAGAGAATCTCGAATGCGAAACACCGTGGGAAAACGGAATTTCGAGAAACCGAGAGAAACTGATACTTCTTTAAGGGAAGGCGGACTTAGGAAATCGAGTTTTTCAGAAAAATATCGAAATTGAGTTTTTATTAGAGAAAGATGCAGCGAAGCTTCTTCTTTCAGATTATGTGTAGATTTTTTGAAAATGAATAGATTTTGAAAGACTTATCACATGAAATTTTATATCTACAACCATGTTTTCAGAGAAATTTTCGTGGTTTTTAAACGTTTTTAGTTTTAAAAAGTTTGCGATTCCACTGCCATTATCATTAAAAGGAATATTTTTATATTAGTCAACATGTCAGATGTCGTTAGCTACCTTCATCTTTTACGTCCTTTAAAACAGTTCTGTGGAATATACCATTGTAAAATGATTTCTTCTGGATTTGAATGAATAAACCTATTTCTAAAATTTCTTCAGTATTTGTCGTAAAACACGGATTTTAGACAGAAAAATTGCAATAACTCCCACTCGACTCTGCATATAACCGATGTTTTGTTTTGTTTTAAAGATCTTGATCAGAGCTAACTTTTGATCAGACAGATTTTTTAGGTTCAATATCAGGACTAAGAAAAGAGGGATTAACTGTCGTAAATTTACAGTTTTTAGGCTTATTTTGCAAACATGCTCATAAAATTGCTCGTAAAAATGAATAGAGAGGAATTTCAAAATTTCATTCGATTGAAAAGTTGCGTTTAGAGGTTAGCTCCAACTCGAAACTGGTTCGAGCTCTGTACCACTTCTGATGACGAAGTTATTTCGATTCTCTTTAGAGGCATGAGAACGAGTCGAAAGTTCAATCTAGCCAGGCATATCATGCTAATTTTTTTACTACAAGCGTTGCGCTCACTAAGATCAATCATCCCTGAAAATTCCAGTACATACGGTGGGTTCCAAGTCGGAAATCAATTCTGGATGGAGAAGGGAGAGGGAGGGCTTAAATATCAGACATGACTGAATTCATCGCTAGGAGAAATCTATCAAGGCCTAAAAACTTAGTTTGATAGAATGATAGTCGTCGATCGATTCATTATCTAGATGATTCATTATCTGTAATCAACTGTTGTCATAGTTGTCCTATATTCAAGAAACAGATCGATGCTTAATTTTGTTTGCTTTCATTATCTAAAAGATAACTTCATTCAAAATTGTCTTTTTCAAACACTCTTTGGGAAAGAAGAAAAATTATCTAGGATGGATCACACAAAACAAAAGTATTATAATGGTCCTAGTATTTTTGACTCCGTTTTGAACGACAGTTTTATCACTTTCCGTTTTCGAGATCATTATACCATCAAATGACAACTTTGATGCGTACATCAAGAAAGTAAAACTTGATGGCATCTCGACTTCGTTGAGGGCTAAATAAGGTGCGAAGCACGAATATCGACTTTCGGAAAAAATCAAAACTTCGAAAACAACGAATGGTCATCTTCAGAATTTTTAATAAAACGATATCTTGTACGAAGATGTTTATCTTTTACTCGGAACATCCCATTCATCAACAGAAGAACTATATACTGGTATAAGCGATTCTCTAATGAACATTGTTTGCTTATCGTTTAATTATGTGCATGATCCAGTACCTATCATCAACTGCACACACAACTGTTTTATACATGAGTCAAAAGACCGGTACCTAGCATTTCTCATTCAAATTATTTCAAAAGAACAAAATTTCTATCGAATGGATAACACTTGTAATATCGGTAAAATTCTTGTTTTGGATAGTGTATTGGTAATCTAGCACAACGTATTGAAAAATATCTCAAAATAGAATTTTCAGGGTTTAATCTTGATACTTTCATCTCTCTTTTCAATGATTACTCTCTGACTTTCACGTCTAGAGATTATTGCGACGCAAAATGACGTATTTGAATGCGTACATCTAGATAGAAGTAAAGAAATAAATAAAGAAAACTTGCTATGAATTACTATAAAGTGATTCGCATCTTAAACAAGTAAACTAGCAAAGGACAACTGAATACTATGCTTCGCATTGTATTAAAAATAGATTTTTTGAAAACAAACGAAAAATCAATTATCGGTTTGAAATCGAATAATTTATCATTTGGTTATCGATGTGATTCATTATCTGTCATCAGCTGTACTTAGAGCTCTTTCATATATGAATAAAAGGAATGACGCCTAAATTTTATTTTAATTATCTCGAAGCTTGAGAAAAAATTGTCTTTTCTGGACGCTATCCATAAGCAAACCATATGTAATAACAAAATTTGAAAAAAAGAGGTTTCGGGTCGATGTCGATGCTTTTATTTCATGATCTCAACGAAAATTTTCTGACTTTCGTTTCTCAAGATCACTGCAACACAAAATTTGAAAAAAAGTCCGT